AAAAAGACAACGAGTGTAACCCATAGATATGCCCATAGACTGTAGGTGTATCCGGCAAAATGCCATAAATCAACCTTCACAATGACGAGGAGGGATTGTAATTATCTGTAAAGTCATATCTCATATTAATGGACTACTTTATTACCTTTGTACAAGCCCTGTAAAAAAATCCCAAGACATGTAAATAGTGTTTTTAATCAGTGAACTATTTGTGACAGTCATGTGATCACGTGTGCCTTGCGCCGGCTTCACTACGGCGAGTATGAACTAAGCTTAATTAGACATTGAAATTAGAGTTTGCTTGAATTACTACTATTCATGTGACTCTTTGAGCACATTTAGAACTAGCTTTGTAAATTACCAATTTTTTTTCACCTGTCATAAACACAGTTTGAGAGGGTGGAGTACAACCGAACCAAACACTGACATTTTGGTGACAAAATGTTACACTTAACTTTCATGAACTGAAAACACCGTGAAAGAGTTAAAAGTGAAAACAGGGAAAACTCCCAGACCAGAGGTTGCCGCCTGGATTAAAGCAATGAAATTTCTCATTTCTTCCTGCCTGTACTCGACCCATGACATTTCTCCCATAGCCATATCCAAAGTTGACATGCTGACAGTTGTAAACAAATCAACTTTATTTACATGACAAACAAGCATTTATGTCTGTCAGACTGAGGAAAGTACAGCTATAGGAGAAATAGGAATTTCCCTTAGAGATCAACAGAGTATCTAACTGAAAAGCAGATGAAACCTAAAGTAAACATACAACAATTTCAGAAAATCCTTTAATGTCATTGACCACTACTGGTAATATATTGAATGGATTGAATTAACCACACCTCCCTTCCTTCTCCTGCAGCTGAAGCAGATTCCAGCAGATGATAATCCCATCTTCTTTCCTACTGACTCTGAGTACGACTGGTTGACGGCCAAGATTTTTGTGAGAAGTGCAGATTTCAACGACCATCAATTCAATGTTCACCTGCTGCGCACTCATTTGCTGGCTGAAGTTTTTGCAGTGTCACTACTGCGCAACGTGCCCATGGTGCATCCGCTGTACAAGGTAACTGAAAGGAAGAATACGGAACTTTTACTAGAGTTGTCATTTTTTTCAAGTTGCTGATTTTTGTGTCTTCCAAAGTGGATGAATCATAATGTTTTAGTGTGTTTATATTTTTAAGTATTCCACACTGCTAAATGGTATAGAAGCATCACATTCACAGAGGTTTTGTCTTTCCCTCAGCTCCTTGTACCTCACACGCGCTACACTCTACAGATCAACAAGTTAGCTCGAGGTCTTCTAATATCTGATGATGGATTTTTCATAAAGGTATGAAATGAACAACATGCTCAGTGGGGACACAGTGTATGAAGCTGAGCAAATGTAATGTTTTAGGTATGACTGTATCCAGGCATACATTACCAAGATCTTCTCTTACGTCAGATCTGTGTTGTAATAAACTCATATTCGAGTACGGACAACTGAAGCTCATCAAGTTTATTCTATTGTTCATCAAAGTGAAGTTTGACTGAAACATTTTTTTCCACACCAATCATGTACACATTTGATTTCCTCCTAGTTTGCAGCTTCTGGAGGAGAGGGTAAGAGGACACTCCTGAAGAGATCACTGACCTCAGTGACCTACCGCTCCCTCTGCATACCAGACGACATTGCTATGACCGTGGGCTGGAGCATGTACCGAACTTCTACTACAGGGATGATGGAATCAAGCTTTGGAGTATCATCCACAAGTATTATAGGCAGTTTGCATTCTGTTGCACATTATTGCAAAATCATGTATGTTTTAGTGACGTGTAGCTGTCATGCTAATGTGTCAATGAGTCCAATTTAGAGGTGCTTATAGGTATATATTTGAACTATGAAGCAAGCCAGGCTAACTGTTACCAGTTGTAGACCTATACTTAACACACACATATGAGAGTGATATTAATCTTCTCATCTCACTCTCAATAAGACAATTGGCAAGTTTTGTAAAATGTTTTGTAAAATGTAAAAAAACCAATTTATTTATAATTGTGTGATCTACTGTGTTGAATAAGCTATTGCATCAAATTCTTAAAAAGAACAGAGCTGATCATTCTAAAGACATGGCCTTAAATTGTCTTACAAAATAATGTCTTACTACTGCAGTGTGTATTTAAAAAAATGGCTAATTCAACTAGGAATGTGTTTAACAGAACTTATCCACATTTGTCAAAGGTTTGTGAAGGGAGTGCTGAGCTTCTACTACAAGAATGACACTGAGGTCCAGAAAGACTCTGAACTGCAGAAGTGGATTTCGGACATTTTTGAACATGGATTCCTTTCCCAAGCCGGCACAGGTGGGCTTTAAGGGGATATTTTAGGGGGGTGTTGTTCCTTATCGGAAGCAAAGGTCAAAGGACAGAGGGTGTCATATGCTCTACAGATTGCAAAGACCCTTGAGGCAAATTTGTGATATTGGGCTGTATAGTCTCTCAACATGGAGAAAGCTGAGTCAGCAGCTAGAAGCTAAAAGTGATAACAGCACAAACAATGGCAACAGTACTGACAGAGCTAATATTGTTAACCTGAGGGGGAACTGGAGGGTGGGTGCTATGCTTCCGCGATGATGCCGTGTGTCAGGACGGCGTTATCAGCGGTCCCGCCCTATGAGCACAGTGTAGATCAGCAACCTTGAGCTAACCAGTGGGGCACACACTGAGACTCACATGCACTAAAATGCCTGTTGGGCCGGCCCGGCTACGTAAACAAAACACAGAGAAGCTTGGATTACAAGAGAGGGAGAGCGACTTCATTCTCTCGTAGCCATGACCCTACTATATCATTACATTGCAAATGGTTGCTTACTGATATATTTAGTCTCTGAATCCCGAGAACCTTTTGGGAACGCAGTTTATTCCCTCTAATTCTCAGGAATTCCAGAGAGCTTCACCACTGTGGCTGAGATGGTGAAGTTTGACACCATGGTGATCTTCACTTGCTCAGGACAGCACTCGGCTGTGAACGCTGGACAGGTGAGGCCTTTTTGTTAAATCATAATGTTGCTATTTTTGTGGAATAGGTTTATCAGGTTGTCTGTTAGTCTTAAGTCCTTAACATAAACAAGAGTCTGTAAGCCATGCAAGCAGGTCTGTGAGGCTGCACTTTGGCACGGTGATGCTTTGAGCTAAATGCCACGAATGCTATGATACTCACAATGGCAACGCTATCATGCTGACTTTTAGCAGGTATAGTGTTTATAAGATCACAATCTACGTTTACCATGTTAACATGCAAGCATTTGCAAAATTAGCACAAAACAAAAAGTACAGCTTAGGCTGATGGGAATGTCAATAGATTTTAAGGTATTTGGCTACAAAGTATTGGACATATACAAATTTTGATCTGATGATAGCACCCAATGAAAAGTCATAGGATCACGAAAGTTATCACCCTGAGCTCAACATGAATGTTTAAACTAAATTAAATGGCAATCCAGCAGAAAGTTGAATGTCCACCTCCTGGTGGCTCTAGGCAAAAAGTTTGGAACACCAAAGCCATCCTCTGGGGACAATGAATGTCTGCAAAGGTTTTGTTACAATCCATATTGCATGCATCCAATAGTTATTGGAATATTTCAGTGTGGACCAACGTAGTCAACTTTCCAACTACTGACATGATGTGGCTTCTCAAAGTATTAATCATCTGTCAATCATTCATTCGTCGCAGTTTGACTACGGTGACTGGATGCCCAACACTCCCACCACCCTGGAAATTCCTCCACCAACCGAAAAGGGGACAACAAACGAGGCCACAATGCTGCAGGCGTTGCCTAACATGGGCATTGCAGCAAACGGAATGGCTGCCATGTGGCTACTTAGCAGGCCATCCTATGACTCCGTAAGTGTACAAAACCTCATGAAAATAAAATAGCAAATCACATTTATGTTTGAGGTATTAAAACAAAAATACCCTCTTCGAGCCATGGAAAAATCCTGGTAACTTTCTACAAACTGTTCATTCTTTTATTAATAGTTTATGTTTGATAAACATTTAAAAAAAAGTTTTTAAATGTATCATTGATGTCATCAGGTCCCTCTTGGCCACTACCCAGAGCAGCATTTTAGTGAGGAGACTCCCTGCGACCTGATCAGGGATTTTCAAGGAGAGCTTCAAATCTTAAGTGAGGCCATCACAAACAGAAACAAGGATCTGGAGGTCCCATACACATACCTGGATCCAAATGAGGTAGAAAATAGTGTGTCCCTTTGAATATCATAAGGTGTGACCTCCGCAGCTGTTGGCCAAATACAGCATCATATTAACAGAAGTGAGAAAGGGAAGAACTGCATGTTTTAACTAATAACTACTATAGGTGAAAGAAACTACTGCATGTGATCATCGTTAATTAATATACAGAGCATCTTATTTTAAAAACTTTCTGTGGGAAAAATATTATTTAGCATTATGACTGTAACATTTTAGAAATAAACTGTGCAAAACAAGGAATTATCAGACAGAGCAATGTATGCTTAACGATGTAGAAGAAAGGAGGTTTCTGTCATCATAGAAAGAGATAATGCTTCAATAGTCCTGGAGTTGTTTCTGTCTGTTCTTATGCTTGTTTTTTTCTTCTCTATAAAAACACAGAGAGAAACTGCACTTTCATCTCTGAGGTGTGTTCCCCAATGCCGCATAATAAAGAATTGATTCATAACATTGATATTGGGTGTTTTTCCTCTCAAAAAAAAAAGAAAAATACATAACAAAAATATATACTGTGAAATGTTTAAAAAAAATAAACTATTTGGATTTGGGTTCACCAATTCTTCCATTCATTTCTAGTATGGGTTTGTAGGCAATTTGTTGAGAGATTTTCATCAACAGTCTATGGGTTCAACAAAGAAATGAGGCAGAGTACTAGAATAGGAAGTTTGCAGTTCACACTCCAGACCAGTAGGGGGAGATAATGCGCTGCTATGTTGTTTACCATCCGCCTTAGAAGCGGAAGTAAAGCAAGTATACAACGCTGGCGGTGGTCACACGTGGGTACGCAAGTTTATCAGAGTAATTTGGTGTAGCCAACTTAATTAGAAACATGTCAAAAAGGCAGACAGCCATGCTAGAAGTAACTACCGGTTCTGAAGTGGGACACGAGGAGAAGGAGGTCCAGGATCCCCCGCCAGAGACCAGACGGACCCGTAGCGGCCGCAAAGTGCGCACTCCAGCCGCACTTCTGGACTCAGAAGCCCCAGTGAGGACCCCCAGCCGGAGGACCAGGAGGTCCGTCCTCCAGGAGCTGGCGTCGGTAGAAAAGGAAAACACGGAGGTAGCAGGGCAGAAACTCGAGAGTCTGGCCGAAGAGAAGCTCGCCATGTCAGTCGAACCAGAGTCTGGTGACGTTACCTCGTCAGAGCAAGCGGAGCCGCACGCACAGGCTGCAGCAGATACAGACGGAGGCCACGTTAACGGGAACGAAGACATTCTTCTGCCCGGGCCTGCACCGGCAGAAACGGCACCCACGAGTTCTGCCGCCGCCCCAAATAAGAAGGTTCGTCTGGGTTTAAGTGCGAAACAAAGTCCGGTCATTCCGCTGGGAAAACCCAAATCCGGCAGAGTATGGAAGGACCGCAACAAGCTGAGGTGAGGATAACGTTAGTATTACTGTGGAAGTAACTGAGTAACGTTACATTTAATTAAGTAGCTTACTGTCATTTAAGTCAAGTTTTTGTTTTGATTTCATGCAACAATATACTTCTACTCATCTACATTTCAGAGGGAAATATTGTACTTTTTACTCCACTATTTATATTTAAGAGCTTTAGTTACTAATTCTTTTTTATATAAAACATCGCTTTAGACACTAAGATGCTATATATTTCCATAGAGTTAAAGGGGAAAGCTGCAGAAAGTAATACATCTGTAATATTGGTTTTGAAATATAAATGAGGGTCGAGTATCACACCTCAGTTCTGAAAGCATTGTGTTCTTAGCAGTACATCTCAAATCTGTCACTTGTTGGATTTTTTTAAAATCGATTAGGTATTATATCACTGAATCATAATTGTGTGATTTCATTTAGGTTAAGTTATCGTATAGCAGTTTGTGTTAAAGTATCATGTAAGACAGATGAAGGTCGGCTTATTTCACAGAATGAAAATGAATTGCGGATTGTAGAAAAAAGTATTAATACACAAGAGGGAGGATGTGTTTCTACCAAAAGTCTACCAGCATTCGTCACTCAACTGACTCAGCTTATAGGGCCACAGCAGTCCCTGGCCTCATGTTGCCTTACATGCAAATTATTCCAGCGAACAATCTTGTATCATCTATAAACCTGCTATATCTGATTTTGTCTTTCAGGTTCTCTGCAATGTTGAGAGACAAACCATTGTGCTCTTCTTGGGAAAAGAAGATGGAGGCCAAACGGGACAAGGACCTGGTGAAACGGTATACTTTGCAGCTTAAAGGGGATAAAGCCAAACAGAGAGAGGTAGGCAGAAGCTGTGTGATGATTTAACCGTTGTAATCTTTTAAGTGTTTGCACCTTTTTTCACATTATATTCTATGTTCCCTGGCTTTATAGGACAAGAGGAAAAGGAGAGAGGACAACTTGAAACGTCGTGCAGAGAATGAACGCAAATCAGAGATTGTGCAAGTGGTATGTCAACTGTTGTTCACACTAAAAGTTCTGGAAGACTTCACCCAATATATGATGACAACCTAATGCCCGGGCCACAATATTTCAGAATAAAAGCCTCGTGATAACAATGAAGGGATTCTGTCCACAGAAAGACGCTAGATGGCTTTTATTTTGAAACAGGAAGTTTTAAGTAAAAAATAAATGTTCAACAGAGATGGTCAAAATATGTGTCAACTGGCCAGCCAGCCAGCGTTTCTCAGATTGGAGTGAGACGAGGAGAAAATGTGATGTCGTGATCTTCGCAATAGAACATCTTTGACGTGTCGAGTCTTGGCTAATCAGCGTTAAGATGTCTACAGCGTCTTCATTTCCCTCCGTTACAGTTTAAGTTACGTTATGTTCCGTTACCGTTCAGACTTGAACCCGACAGGGTTTCGGGCTTGTCACCTTTTTCACCTCTCATGAGTTTGCAGGTATGATAATTGATTGGCAACATAAGCCCACACAATCTTTGTATTGGAGTTTTGACCGTTGTTTATATTCTACTGTCTCTTTTCCTGTCTCGTATCACAGATCACGAACACGGCAAAGATCAAGAGGATGAAGAAGAAACAACTCAGGAAAATTGAGAAGAGAGACACGCTGGCTCTGCTGCAGAAGTCACAGAAGCAGCGCGTAAAAGTCAAAGCGCAAAAAAGTCAGAAGGTTGAACAAGATATGACCTAAAGATTGTGAGATAATAAAAATGCAACTCTTCAGAACTTGGCCTACATGTTTTATATGTGGATGTCTGAAATACAGCAAGCATCTGTATGGGAGTTAAACATTTTGCACAATAGGTGAGATTGCTGTTGGTCGCCACTCTAAAGATTCAACCTTTTCTGTTGTCTTTTTTTTTTTTTTGGCATAAGTGTCCGATCATTGATTTGCCTATTGCTCTGTTAACATCTCTCTAAAGCCTGTAAAACATCACATATGACCAATTCTGTTTTACTTGTAGGATTTTATATTTAATAAAATTGAAATTCTTATTGTAAATCAAATTGTCACACTACTTGATGGCCGGGAAATACAAGTTAAAAAACAGTGAAGGTATGACGAGTTTAAAGTATGTATACCATTAGAACAACAATACCAGAAATATGTACTTTTTAATTGTTGAGGTGTTCTTGAGTATTGTGTTATTGTGAGGAACTTAACTGGTTATGACCTACATAAGTATCTGAGACTGTCAGCGAGAAGATTTTCTATAATGTTATTAGTTAGAGGAGCAGAGCATCACCTCGCTGCTACACCGCTCCCTGCGGGGAGCCAACACCGACACCATACAGCGGAGACTTGGGCCATAGTACTGGGTGCACGGGAGAACCAGGACTGAGTGGGGCCGACTGTCAGACCCTGCTGCAGTAAAATGAGAGGTTTTCTAAAGGGACTCTTTTGCTTGGAAACACGACCGCTTTTGTCCAAAGGGACTGCCAAAATCAACAAAATGTTTTCCTTGTATAACTTTAAATGCACTTAATAAATTACATGGAAGCTTTAGAGTGACAACCTATGTCTTCAGTCTTCAATTATTTACTGGTTATTACTAGAAAAAGTACATCTGCTGAGCTTAATTGTGTGATACGTATCCAGAATATAGAAAAAAGGGATCGTGTGGTGAGTTTGTTTTGACAACTTGTTTCCAAAGTCAATTCATTTTATTGTTTTAAATTTTATAAAATGGGTGAATTTTGAGCTGAAACAATTAATTGATTTATCAATTGAAAGAAAATGTTTTAATTGCTTCCAAATATGACAAATATTCACAGGTATCGGCCTCTCAAATGTGAGGTTCTGACCCTTTCTTTTATATGATAGTGAACTTGAGTTTTTGACTTAAAGTCAGACAAAACAAGCATTTAGAAAGTGTCAACTTGGGCTTTGGAAAATAATAATGGCAATTTTTAACGATTTTGTTGACACTTTGAAGACAAAACAATAATTATGATCTATCAATCAACAGCCAATGATACGTTTTGTCTCATTATTATGGCTTCACCTGAGATGTATAGTGTTTGGGAGGTTTGGGTGGGACACTGCGCCTATTGTCAGACACTGTTTATTTTTCATCAGGTTAAGCAAGAGGCTGTTACAGGACAGATGGCGCTGCTGTTCACCGTATTTACAGTGCAGACGCTGGGCAGTAACATGTTTATTGTTTAGGCTCTGTTCTCCACGATATTGGATTTAAAGGTAAACTATGAGATTAAAATGAGACCATGTAAACAAAGGACTAAGTAACACAATCCACCTTCTATAAATGAAAAATGTCTTGAAAACAATTCAGCCCCATTATATCATATTCATGTAGGATTATTGCAGGGCTGATGTGTTAGACTGCATTTGTTTTAGCTGACCAAATAAACTGGATGTATGATACTTAATAACATTACTGAGTCAGTCCCCTGACATTATGACTGGAATACTTTTTTTATACATTACATTTCAGTGTGTCACATATATGTTTTTTAATGTTTTTTATCGTGAACACCATACCTCACTAGAAAAAATAAATTAAAAAAATCCATTATGCTGTAATTGCTATTCTGGCAACTGAATTCTATTTAGTAACTGTATTCTACTGGAATACTTGAAGCTGGTCTTACTGTTTACTGGCCTAGTGCCATGTATAAACATATCTCTTTATTGTGCATTCAATACTAAGCTATTCAAATAATACACAGGTTCATATATTCATGTTTTTATTTTAAACATGTGCAAGGTACAGTGAGTAGCCGTGCCACCACCATTTATAAACACATCTTGTCAGCTGATACCAATGCCAACATCAACATTGTCTGTCAATTGCATGATAATCATGCATACAAGCTATTCAAATTGTTTTCATTTTAAACATAAATGTGGAAATGAGTGATGGCCTATTAGTGCTACTGTCATGCATAAACATACCTGTTATCTTGCATACAATACTGAACTATAAAAATAATGGACACATTCATGTTTGGGAAAGAAATTAAAATAAACAAGTTGTCTAATCAACCAAAAAGTTTGCTGACCCCCTGGAAGGCACTTAATCATGTTTTTAATTTAGTATGTTTCATTTTAATCAAGTAAAAGGACAATATTTCCCAATGAATTTTAGTAGAATTGTGAATTGGCATGAAAAGAAAATACTTAAATCAAGTACAACAACCAAAAATGTGTACTCAAGTACAATACTTACACTAGTTACATTCCACTAGTGGTTATTGGCCATTTTGATTTTACGTTCTCAAAGTCATTTATGAACATTCGGTATGAGGTTGACTCATTACTGATTATCACGAGGACATGAATGTACCAGAATCATGAGAGCAGTTGATGAAACTGAATAATAATGTGTTGTTAATAATCGGCAATGGACACATAACTTCATGATGCAGCATCTACGTAAATGACTGCATCACAAGACACTGGTTTCAGTCACAGTATTGTATGTTTGCCCAAAATAGCAAAAGTAAATTTGGCAAGTAGGTCGAGTACAAAAAACACAGCTTTTCCCTCACCTTTACTCTCATTCCAAGGGCTTTAAATGACATGCATTATTAAAGTACACTATACTTTCTTTGTGTCACAAGAAGAGACAACTCCTTAAGTTCATCACCAACTTGTTTGCTTTTTTAAAATCCTTTCAGTTGCTTTAGAATAATCTGACATCCTTTAGAATACACGGATTAACAAAGCAATTTGTTACACTGAGGGGACCGATTGAGAAGTAATGATCATCTTTCAATCACGTTGAAACTGGGTGTCTTGAACATCATTATTCATGTCGGTCACTCACCATATAAAGGCTGTGACAAACTTGGTGCACATCTGACGGTGAACTAATTAAAGTGCGAGTCAAGAGAAGCAGCATTCATACAACAGCTCAAGGCAGCTACATAAGTAAAATCCGGAGTTTTGTAAGTACAATCTTTTTGTTTATAATTTTCTATATTTAAGTGTGTAGAAAACAGATTTTGTGGCGTTATTCATATTCATTGTTTTCAGTATTGTCATCAATTGTGTTTAAGATCCTTTTTAGAAATCTCTGACATTCTTAGTTCACTTTTACATGGAAGGAATTGTTTTGTTTGACCTTGCAAGAAAACATAATTTTGATTTTTTTTTTTTTTTAGATACAACAGAGGTTCAAAATGATTCTGCCAATTATTATACAACTCCTTCTCATTGGTGAGTGAAGCTTATTTTTCTTGTTACAGTGCACTGCAATTTTTGGAAAAGGGACACAGTGCTCTCTTTCAAATTGATGTCTTATCTATTGTATATTTATTTATTTTGTAATAGCGTCAGCAAATGCTCAGACTACAGCACCTGCAGCTGCCGCAGCCACGACCACCGCAGCCACGACCAACGCAGCCACGACCACCGCAGCCACTACCAGCGCAGCCACAACAACAGCGGCGATAACAACAAACACCACCAACGCTGCTGCACATGCTGGGGTCACGTACACGAGCAGTCTTGTTGCGTGTTACTTTAGTGTTGTTCTCTACAAGTTCCTCTTGTAACTTGGTTGTGTTGCCTTAACCTGTTTTTACAGAATACAGTCATTGTTATGCACACAGAAACATATACTTTATGTTTAAATATATAACCAAATAACCATGTTATAAATCACTGGTGTTGATAGGTTTCGAAAATCTAGATGATTCAGTGTGTTCAAATGTTGATCATAATAAAAGTTTGGTAGAACTCTGAACATCTCGGTTTGTGTCTTGTTATTGTCATCACTTTTAAAGTCGACTGCAATTTTCCAAAGCGTCTCCTGCCCATCACAAACGTGTACTAGTGGTTTCAATGTTTTAGGAATGATATTTAAACGAACTTACAAACTGTTTTCTCAAAATCTTGTATAAAGTTTACAGTCTTTCTTGAAAATGTAGTTATCTAATCTATACAAAGTAAATAATCTTCCTTCAGTTGAAGGACTTTTTCAGAATGAAGTGCTCGTCATTTAAATATAGAGTGATCAACATTTGTTATTTTCAGTCTAAATACAAGTAGCAAATGAATACGTTGATACCGACTCTTGAAACAAATATAAAGCCTATCCTGTTTTATATAATTATTTTGAAACAAGTTATCATTTGCATACTGAGATTTCATCCTCGCTCAGTAATAACAAAATCTATTTTTCCACATTACGCTTCCTTCTACTGTCTGTTTTGATCATCAGGCAGTGAGAACAGCTTCTGATTTATGATCCTAAATGTATCCTTGTGTGTCACCATTCATCACAATGACTTGTTGAGAGTGGGACTATTTGCCAGTCACACAGTTTAAACAAAAAAAAGGGCTCACCCACTTTAAAAGAATGCAAAGGATGAAAATAATCTTTCCTCAAACACACAGAGAACAGATGCACCTTGTCTACATTACAAATACGGTAAAGTCCAAAAAAAGAAAAGTAATAATGGACACGTCCTGGCTAACATGATCAATTAAACCCACTATGAGCCTTGTGTCAAATAAATCTGCTGTGGGCCCCTTAATTATAGCTCAATTATATTCTGACGAGAGTCCCAGAAACCAATAAGTACTCCTGAGCTTGAATACCACCTGGCCTCATGTTTGCTGTGTGTCAATTAGTTTGTAGTATTTTATTTAAAAACACATTTATTTCGGAATATTTACCACCTTAGCACACAACTGGGTGGTGAATTATGGGAAGCTAGATTTTCACAGAAAGCCTCTCTGCAAGACAGAGCCACACGATTGAAATCAACTAGGTTTGTTACTTAAACCTATGTGCCCCGCTTTACGGCCCTTATCATTATATCGTGATAACAGACGCATCACCGTTTGTTTACAGGTTTACATTAAATGATGAACGTAGACTCTTATACAGCCAGATTGACAAATTTGATACCTAACATATGCACTGAACTCTCCAGAAAGATCGAATAGACAAAGTGAATGCCAGGATAAGATAAGTTGATTGGCTCCTGATATACAATCAGTTAATCTGATGTCCTTAAAGATTCTTTGTGGTGCAGCAGTCAAACAAACAAAAAGGATATATTCACAAGGCACAACATAAACAGTGAGTGCAAAATTCAAATAAGTGCAAACATAGAGGGCATCAATTAAAACTTACATATTGTTAAATCTCAGGTTCACTGACTGAGGTCACATCTGTCAGGAGAAACTCGTCAGTCACAGGAATCAGGGTGTGAATGGTTGTGAGACTACCTGCAAAGGTCTTATGTATGTGTATGTGAATGACAGGGCAGGGACAACTCCTCCGTTTTACTCATCAAAGTTTGTTTACAGGTGTTAGGGAGTAGCCTACTACTGCAGATGTGGATAAGTGATGAGTCAGTTTGTTCTGAAACCAAAAATGTGAAAAACCTCCGACTGTGTGGAGTAAGAAAGAAGTGGTCTTACCAGACCTCTATGACCCGCTCCTCATCTCTGCTTGAGGCTTGCAGCTCGAGGCTACTACATCAGCTACCACTAGCATTTACACACCTGGATCTCTGACCGAACTGCCGGTGGTCGAGCTGCATTGTGGGTAATGTAGGCGGCAGACTTTGACAGGGAAAAGAATGCATGGAATAAAGAAATAAGTTCTTTGTTTCTGTTGCATTGAGTTTAATGGCAATGTTATAGGTGTAACTTTAGCCTACATACTATGTCTACGGTATATTTCAACAATAAGATATACATGTTATATCAATACAAGCCTCAAAGACTTGAGAAGTGAAGGATCAGTTAGGTAAACCAACATTTCCCACCAGATGACTCTGCTGTTAATGAGCGTTGTATCCATATTTCAACTTCAGCCTTTTGGAGGACGGCCTTGACATTATGGAGCATGATAAATCTTATTACATCACAAAAAACAAATAAAAAGAAAATGTGAATATTGTCATCATGTTGACCATGTATTGCAGATAATTTGGACTAACGCTGTTTAACCACAAGGTGGTAGTATTACACATGCTTTACCAAAGGATGACTCTGGCCTGTTTTAAATAAAGTCAAAGATATTCATGAAATCATGAATAAATCTATACAACTAATTATTTGTCTAACTTGTATGAGATAGAAATATAATAATGTGGCATCAAATGCTGTATACCTGAAGTAATACATAATATCTGATCATATTCAGGGTCGATTGTTTTTGAATGAAAGGCTGTATGCAAATATAAACACCCAAATCTTTCCAAAACTTGGACATTTTATTTACAGTTCAAGTCAGTCACATGCAACATTTTCTTAAAATGAATAAACATGAAATTAGCAAAAACAAGAAAAGAAAAAAGAAATGCATATTATTTTCTCCAAAATAGCAATATACAAAAATAGAGCTTACAAATACTGTACAGCAAATTGTCTCCAAAAATATTCTGCTGCAGAATTCTTAGTTTTACAAACAATGTCTGTGAGGGTCCACAAACGTAATCAGTGTTAACAAAAAAGGGTGTGTGGGTAGGGGAGTGGTGCTTGGGTACACTGGTAAAGGTAGCAGGGTCTGTTTGGACAAAGAGCGAGGAAGTTATTTGTGACTTGGAACGGCACGACAAGAGCCTCGGAGGAATAAATAACACCATAAAAACAAGAGGAAAGTCGACTTCAGGGCGGCAGTGATAGAGATTAAAAAACTGATTAAATGGTCTGGTTGCTAAAACCAACCATGGAAATATAATTAAACCCTTCATCTATAGAGGATGTTGGTACCACATTTCTTTTAATAAAACAGGAGAGTTTTTTCATATTCTTACAGAACACTGCCATCAAATATTGTGCACTGAAAGGCACAATCATATAAATGGCCTTGTGACGCTCTCTACTCTTGAGTATCAGTCAATTTCTGATGTGAAGTGGTGTCCCCGACTGATACTTCATCTCATTGTGTCTTGTCTATTTATAATGGAGATAACTCAGAAGCAGCACTGACGTCAATGATTTCAGTGGCGGGAAGCCATTTCTTATATTCATCTATTATATTCATGGCTGACTCAGTTTCCATTCTCTTTTGGCCACAATGTGACGAAGACTGCACCCTTTCTCCTTTGCTTTAAAAATGCAAAACATTATTTCTTACTGACTGGGGCTTTGATTCACAACAGTTCATTTTGGATTGGCACTTTGTTTTCAGCGGGATTATGACGGCACACAGGAAGGAAACGGGGAAGTCTGGTGGAAAGGCTAAAAGTGTTTACAATCAAACACAACACTTAAGATGGCCAAATGGCAGGAAGTGTTCGGCTGCCATTTGGTTCATGAAGGAGCAATTTTAGTGCACCTTATGTATAACTACACTACTACTGTCTACATACATGTAACAATGATGACGCCAACACCTCTTCACTAACAGGCAATATAAATTATTGTCTGATCACAAAGTTAATCATTAATACACTGTGGGTTTGAAATTGCCAATTAACACAGCCCTCGTCTTGTTTTTATAATTGTGGCAGTTTTTGTTCAAATAACGCTAATGTGAACAATATGTTTCTTTAAATCCGAGTCGCTTTAAAATGTTAACACTTTCTCGTCAGTGGAGGCAATGCGTTGCATTTATGTCGGAGGACTGGACTTCGATAAGGGCATGGGACAACCGACTAATACGCTACATACAGGATCATGAAATCCTGCTTTTGCTCTCGTCTAACAGTTGACATTTTCACCTTGCTGCGTGCTCTGATCCATCGCTGTGAGGTGTGGGCAGGCATTCAGCAGAGATGAAACATTGAAAACACAGAGGAAGGGTAACAAAGCGTTCCTGCCATAAAAGCACATTGTCACTTTTAAAAACGTCCATGTGTTGGGAACCTGTGAGACTGTTTGCTGTTGGAGAACAAAGTCTAAAAGCAAATTTTGAGTTTTTAAAGGCACAATCAATGTTTTTTTTAGCTTAATTATAAGTATATTCCAAAATATATTTGAGTTAAATAGTAATTGGGTTTTGGTGTGTTTCTAAACCAACTTGAATTCAGAATATAAGCCTGTTTCCATCAATAATGTTTGTAAACATAAAACAACATGTAAACAAACCTTTTTATAGCACCAAAGACATTGAAAAATGTGATCTAATTGCTGTCTAATGTATTTCATTGTGTCAGTTTACATTTTTTCATGGTGGGACTATTCTTTTGTTTACAATTGGATCAGGGACTGTGCCTATAGTGAGAATGTATTGTCATTTGACAATATCACAGTAAAGGAAATCTCCAACTTATCCAAAGTCCATCACTTTTGACACAAGTTTTTTTTTCAGCTGCCGTTTTCAGATCAGCACATTGTCGCACAACCCATTTACCAAATGCAGCTAACAAGGGATGAGGACAAAAACATAACCACAAAAGCTGGTACGACTTAGAGTTACTGTATGTGTGGCACAAAACAAAAAGCATCCTGTACCGTATAGAAAGAGGGAGAGCGGCGAAAGCACCAGAATACTGCAGTCACAAAGCAGAGCTACCCTTTGTGTGCCTGTGTGTGTGTGCATGAATGAAAATGCTGCTTCATTACAACCTGCTGACCACTGACTCTCTGGCAACCCGTCCATGGGGGCAGCTCAAGCCCCTCCCTTTGTGCATGTAGTGTGTATTTCTTGACCAAATAGATATGCTGATTATCTGCTGAGGGCAGTCATTCTGATGCAGGTGTCAATCCACTTACTCATTCACTCTATGCAGCTGTACCTAGAAATTATAATAAATTAAAAAATAAATACAAATACTCTACTTGGATAGAAGCAAAAGTAACTGCAACTGTGTATGCAGAGCATTTTAAATAGGAGATGAACAGCAAAGAAGGCAAAAGCCCGCTTCATCCTGCCCTCTTCCAAAATTGAGGTATTGACCTATTCTAGCAGGATATATATGATGCTAGTTTAAGATTAATCAACATGACTTTTTGACATCTGTTGTTTTGTTTTCAGAAATGTCTCAGCCCTAATCTGAAGCAAGCCACTGTGACATTCACACAGAACGGCTTCAATAAAACAAAATGATGCAGCAGAACAAAATAAAACTGAAATATTTACGTTACGTGTTTAGATCTTTGTTTAACATTGCCTTATTACTGGTGTTTGTTCTGTAAAATAGTTTTTTTTTAGATAAAGCACCAGGTTTTACACCGGTTTAAATAATCACAGTAGTTGGAGCAGTTGCTTTGTAACTGTGATTCCCGTTGGAGATATCCTGAATCGTTTTTTTGAGTAATACCTGGGATAACAGGATATAGCCTGCACTCGTTTATGGTGGATGTCTCTGTGTATTCCTTTCATAAAAAAGATAATTTGTTCACTGTATCACCTTCCTGTATTGACAGAATAATAACAAAGGATAACGACAACAGTCACATTGTAATGAATGACAAACAGGGCATCAATGAGGGAAAACATTTCTATAGGCTCAGTGTGAAGAATTCTGTTTCAACACATTCAAACCTTTCACATTTAGGTTGCTTTGACCTTAATTTGTCATGTGTGTGCGCAATTACAACTAAAGCACTGTCCAAATTTCCTGACATCTATCTACTGACAGGTTTTGTTGTGCCTTTCAGATATATTTTTTTACAAATCAAAGTTTACTAGTTTACTTATTAAAAATCAAAGCCCATGTGGCTTTGTACTGTACATAGAATAATAGTTAATGATACAATATAAAACATAACCTTGCTACTAGGATCACAAGCAATTAAGGTTTGCCTTATCGTAAAGTGCTTGTTAAAAAAAAAAAGTTAAACAATTTATATTTTAGTGTACTGTAGTTCTTGGCTTTTGTGTTTTTTTCCTCCTGGTCTTAAGCTGGTGTCCCCAGAAAAGTGCTTTGGTTGAGAAAAAGTTATCGACCACGTCTTGGTCAAGAAGGAAACTTCTATTATCCATCACTATTCTTCATTGCCCGCGAAAAAAAACCAAAACATTAATACAGTTGATTATCAGTTAGAACTGATATAAGGAAACCTTTTGTGAACCAATGCAAGAATAAGAGACGATGGCTGAAGAGTCACAGTTCTCGTGGGTATCTGCACATGAACCCCTGTTTCTCCGCTCTGCACACAGACTCATACCAAAGGTGTACCTGTACAAGTGAGAGTATGAGTGACGGGATGTGTATTTGTGTGTGTTTGTCGTGTACTATAAGAGAGGTTTCGAGTCTGCTACACCAGGTTCTCGATGCCGGGTAGAGGCTGCTGTATTGGCACAGGAGCGTCCGTGCTGCCGGCCTGCTGGGCGAGCTGCAGGACGGGCATGTTGCACAGCGGACACACTTTCCTCACCTCCAACCACTTAATGAGGCACCTGGAAGAAAGCAAAGGCAGTGAGCGTATGGTTAAGGCCTAAATACAGAGGTATGTGAAGGGGTAGAGAAAATTAAAACTTGGGTTAGCTTGACTCGTCTTATATTAGGACACAAACTACATCAATTCATGTGTCAACACTTGCATCTGCTTACAAGCTTGGCAGGCTTATGGTAAATGGTAAAAGGACTTGTACAGGCCCTTTTCTAGTCATCTGACTTAACAGTACGTAATGTACCCTTCCACTGATACACTGATGGCAGGGGCTACAATGCAAGGTGCCATCTGCCCATCAGGACCAACTAACCTTTCACACACCCATATCATGTGTATTAGGCGTATATGTTTATTTTCTCAGGATTCATTGAGCTTATCATTAACATATTGTATTGGCACATATGTCAATCAATAAGTAATTGCAGTCAAGAAAAGAAAAATACATGTTTGCGTTGATGTAAAAAAGGTGCAGACATCACATGATTTGTCCACCAGAGGGCACTGACAAATGTATCTTTCTAATAGTAGGCGACTTTGACAAAAATTAATTTAAGAGAACCTTTCATAGGTGTATCTTAATGCTGAAAAATGAACATATACCATAATTGTATATCAAATTGTTTAAACTCTGTCATAGTGATGTTGGTATTGACTTAAAGAATCTGTCTGGCTCTAATACAGATAAACAGCAGTAAAGAGTTTTACGTCCAACTAACACACATTCTGTTGAACAAGTGTGACAACCACACTAATTAAATACATCCGGTCACACATTAGGTCACACGCAAAACCCTTATTGTGAGATTGCTCTGCTCTCTAGCTGTGGTGTTAGCACTGTCAATCACTGAGACACAGACAGTGGATTTACAGTTTTATTAAATTTCCATTCTGGTACTTAATGTGGAGCTGAAGTGAGCTGTGAATTAATTGATTTAATTAATTAAATGTAAAACATTGTTTGTTTCCAACTTTACCAATGTAAAGACTTTCTACTTTAGTCTGTTTTATGCCATTGTTAATTGAATAGCTTTGGGGTTTGGGCTGTTGAAAAAAAGCAATTTGAAGACCATGCCTTTGCCCCTTGGTAAATTGAACGGGTCTTTTTCACTGTGTAGGAATTTTATAGAGGAAACTATTCATCCAGTAATTGAAAAAATAATGGGAAGATTAATCAATAATGACAAGCATTGTCTTGTTGTCATTCATTGTGTTTTCTCCAAAAAACAGCATGGCTTTACTTGCCACACACTAAAAAGGAGAGTTTATACAGTGCATTCACCTAGTGGTGACCCTCTTGCTGAAACTGGGGGGAAAACTAGGCCAAGGGAGGTGTCATGCTGATATAAACAACTCAGTCGAAATGGTCAGGGCACAGAGGGGGGAGGTGTGGGGGATGAAGTTGGCTACAGCAATCCATCATGTCCTGTGAAGCTCTGCACCTGATAAACACTTGGCTTTAGTTTTGTGTAGAAAAACTATATAATCATTAACTTTTTGTTATTGTCGCCACCAACATGCAGTCCATCCACGCAATGACTTGAAAATAACTTCACTCTAGTCTCTGAAAATTGTGTCTCTTGTTTTTTTTATTGTTTTCTACTCACTGTCAGTTAAATTCATAAGAGGTGGTAAAGAGGAAAATGTACTACTTGGTTAAGGAAACCTGTACTGATCCACGTTCCTTTGGTGTGTGTGTGTGCACTTTTGTGTACGTGACCATGGATGCACACAAAACCATAAACTTACTTCCTATGGAAGGCATGTTTGCACGGACAAATCCCCAGCTCGTCTTTCTGTTTGAACTCCTCCAAGCACACTGCACAAATCTGAAAGAGAGAGGAGAAGTTCGAGGTGTTTTTCTGGGGAGGGGAATGGAACAACTTTGAATTTGTTGGTTGTTCTCTGGATTTTTTTTTCTTTTTTTTTCAGTCCTAATCTGAATTTTGTGTTGGTGGATTGAAAACAAACTATTCATACAACCAAGGTCAGGCACTTGTGGAAAAAAACAACTGTGGCCAACATCTGCCAAAAAATAAACAGAGACAACAGAGTAGTAACTGACCAACTGCATTGTGTTATATAACTCTGACTTAACTCACACTTGTTCAGTCTTCCTTTTGTGGCACAGTTTCAAGGTTACGGGACTGAGAAAGACTGAAGCATTTGAAAGACAGCCACAAAAGTGGACCCATATCACAGCACACAGGACAATTTGTGCATATTAAAACTTCATCAGACACATTTTCACTGGTTATGTAGCTCATAACAATCTACCCAACTCCATGGGTCTATGATCTCAGTGCCGTTAGCGTCTGCCATCATAGATAAAACAGTTAAATAGCAGTGAGAACCGTAGTCCTCTATGCCTCACTGAGGCAATAAGTCAGGTTGGAGTTCTTTGTCTTTTTGTGCAATGTTTGCTTTACACACACACGCCCGTTCAACTGACATGATCCAAACAGGTCATTAACTGCCAGCTAGCATTAGCTAACTGTTTTGGTTGTGTGTGACATGATTATTCATTTTATATTTAAATAAGATATTTTTCAGTTGCCTGATTGTCAAATTCTGGAAATGTATTTCTCGCTTTGACTTTGCCAGTCAACAAACACTAGAAGAATGTTGGTGAACTTCCTTTTTGTCGTCTATTGAATAATCTCTTTTATATTAAACAACTGACTGCTGGTTTATTATTGTTCTACTGCAAATGCATGAAGAAAGATGCTTTGCGTGTACAATTTTTTCAGTATATTCTGGGTATCATACAGGTTGAACACATTGCACTTCCAGATAAATTGGCGAGAATCTGCTGAATCAGAACAATATGATAACACAACCATCCATCCACCCATCCTTTTCTCCCTGTGATTCTTTCTCCCGGTGTTTCTTCAACTATTTAGGGGAGCTGGGATATATAATGGGCGTTCAGGAGGCCTAATCAGAGGGTACAAAGTACTCATTTTGGCAACTTATAGATGCAATCTCCTTGTTTTCCATCACAATCCAGAGCCACTGACCATAGGTCAGGGTTGGCATGAATCTAACTTCCCAGTGAAACTCATTGACAGGTGAAAAGAAGCGACTGACAACACCACATACAATGTAGGTAGGACATGGCTGACTACACTCCCTTTCTAGACCAACATTAGAGTTGCAGTGACAAGGGTAACAGGACATTTCAAACTGTGAAAAAATGGGCAAAAATCTGCAAAGATGAAAAAAGTCCTCACTCCATTCCCATCACAAAACTTTATCCAACCAGTGGGTGACATTTCCATAAAAGAGAGTTTTAATTTGGCACACAGTTCTTTTGGGCTGTCTAAGCCTGCAACTATTTAGCCACACAGTTTATCTTTCTCTCAGCTCTACATTATGGGGGTGGATGGACAAGGAAGGATGAAAAGGACAGCATGGGGGCTCTTAGCTTCTCTCCCGATGATCTTTGGACACAGAGCAATTCTCTGTTAAGATGTCTGCTTTACTGTCGTTATTTGTGAATAGATCAGTGTTTTTGTTCCCTTAAATGCCTTGTCTATGGTGTCACACTCACAGTTGAGATCTGGCACCCTTCACCAACTTTTGACAGAATCTCTTTCTCCCGATAAACTGAATAAACCCTGTAAGCAACAGTTACAAATCTCATGCAAAACACATGTACTTAATTTTATGGAAAAACATTACCAGATCATGGATTTGATCAGAGAAAAAACATGTGGTACAAATTAGTTACTTAACAAACGTAAAAAAAAAAAGAATGTACAATTGTAAAAAAGCTTGGTCCAAGAGAGCCATGAAACAGGGTACAGCACAGAAGAGTTACTGAAAAGAAGAGAAGAACCCAGGCTAAAAATAGGCTAATCCTCAAAAGCTATTTGTGGCCACAATAGGCACTTGTTAACCTAAGTGGGTATTCGGACCAACAGGCCCTCTCTTTATGGATCTCTAGTGATAAAAACATGTTGCCCTTGTTTTTATCATCTTTAGCAGCCACCTCTGCAGATTTGCTTCTACATCTACTACTCATCCATGTTTGTCTTTCCACACCCTTTGTAAACATTTGCAACAAGACAACATTTGTGAAACACGTGCCTGTGAGTCATTAAAGTACAATTATCGGCTAATGGTTGTAGTTAACACTTTACATCCATGTCAAATGTAAAATGTGTCATAATCAGTATATGAATTCTTGAGTTATGGCAAAAGCTGTTTTTTGTGAGGTCGCAGGGACCATTGACCACCAAATTCAAATCAGTTCATCCTTGAGACCAAGTAGATGCTTGTGCCTCCATGCATTCCTGATATCGTGTTCACGAGAATGGGACAGAATCACATTAGTTCTGTGAGGTCGACACATGGACTAACTATTACGCAGAACCTCTTCATGACAGAAAAGATATCTCATATCTCAAGATGTATCATTATGAGCAATAATCTAGATGTCATTTTCCATCACGGGTTCTCTTCTTTCGAATTTTATTACAATATTTCTGCTGAATTAGCTTTACATACATTTCTACAAGTACATGTGAAACAATAACAGATACTGAAAATTGTACACATAATTATTTAATGTGTAGTATAATTGCAGCCTAGTTGTTTTCAGGTGTAATAACTTTACTTTCCTTTTTGAGCTCACTGATTTGAAACAAATCCCGCTGATCATAAGCTCCCTTCATTTTCTCTCTACTATAAAAGTTAGTCCCAGCAGCCGATTAAGTAACGATTTGCTGCCTTAGTAAAACAGAAGCTAACTACACACAGATTGTGAGCGTAAACTGAATGAAAATAAAAGGCACACCACCATCTCAACAACAGAACAGCACAATCAGTCGAGTACTACTGTGACCCTATAAGCAATAGGTTTTACTTGCTTATGAGTGGCCTGGGGGAGGTTGTTTGAGCACCCATTGAATATGCCAACTGTTCGCATACACGTGTATCCATTTGTGTGTAACTGCATTTGATAAAAAAAAAAAAAGAGGCTGAAAAGGTATTAGTTGGTGCTGCGTTATGATTTTTGATTCAGCATTTCTTTCATACCATATTGTATATCAGGAATCCTTTACATTAGGGTATTATTTACAAACAACATATGGGACAGTTAAATGGAGAGATGGGTCAATGTCGTACTTCAAAAAAAGATAGCTGATCAGGTGACACAAACTTTAACATGACTTGATCACCAAACTGATCCCATAATAGTGCTTCTACTGTAGATATTCCATCAAAATACTGAGACTGAATTTGTGCCATTCAGTCTAAAATCGTGTCTCCAGGGTGATCTTTCGGCGTGGCAGCCTTTAAAACTAGGTCATCCACCCAGGCTAGTGTGTGTGTGTGTGTGTGTGTGTGTGTGTGTGTATTATTGTCCTTAGACAAATACAGCTTGGTAATTCCGTCAGTGTTCACTCACATGACACTTTCTAATGCTTTCTTTTAGCTCCTAACAATATAAACAATACAAGACTGAGGCCTGATGGAGCAGCGGGAAATTCCAACAATGATGACAAAAAACTGTGTTTAGCCATGTGTTTAAGCACACGCGAAGATGGTATTGTTGTTGTTGTATTTCATTTGCACTACGGTGTTGAATGGATAGTGTTCCTGGCTGCAAAGCCAATGCTGCCGCTTTACTCACTGACTTCTGCTTGCAATTTTCCAACCAGGCTGAGCTGACATACAGCATTACTTAATAACGGTAGGGAGAACACTCATAACTTAACAGCAAGATGCTAGTTTTCACATGACAGCGTGTCAAAACAGATGCACTGAATGTTAAATAACTAACAACGTGTATGTTATCGCTGCTTTTACACTAGACAAAACCCATAAAACTCAAAAAAACGGAAGTCCAGAAACACAAAGCCAGCAGATAGCAGATAGCCCAAAAGAGTCCTGATATATTCTGATGCACATTACATAACAAGAGTTGGTATCATTTACAACCAAAGCTGAGAATGTTTATGTTAATAATGACGGCATAAATTGACAAAAAAACAACAAAAAGAGATTTCAGAGCGAGGCAGGCAAAGGTGTCTAGAATATGTGTTTGAAGGATATATCCAGGATGTTACACCGGGTTAAAAAGATAGCGATAGAAGCTAAAGACAGTGTAAAAGTGAACCACCACATTACTTCATAATCATCACTGTTTCTATGAAGCCAGGTAGGTATTTCTTTCACTGTAAAAATCATTAAAAAGCAAAAGCAGCATATGTATATATTCAGTATTCAGTAGCATAGAAGTGCTAACACTAGTTAATGATGCGCTAACGCACTCTGCTAATGTACAGGTTTTTACGTATAATTGTAATGTTTTAGAAAGTTATACGCATCTCCTTCCAACCTCTCCGGAAAACGAGTATCACTATTACACGTGCCCCAGAAACAATGTTTAACCGTGACTAGCTCAAAATCTACAAAAAAACTGATTGCATGAGAGTTTTATGGAGCAGGGCCAGATAGTTGTCGGACCCTGGTTGGAGTTGGCCAACGCTATGCTATAATTGGTCAGAGTTTTAATGACGCACATTGTATCATGGCACAACCATCATAACTGCACAACAATGAGGAGATAGAAGTACAGAAAGAACGAGCTGAGTAAATGAACGACATTGTGGCTAAAGCATTGCTCAAATGAAGTAGTATATGGCTGGATAGTCCGAATTAGATGGTATAACAGTACAGCGGATACTTGTCAGGGTACATTACAGAATGTTCCGTACATTAGATAGGCCGACTGCTTAAAGAGAGTGATATTTTGGTTTAAAGTATCATCAACTGATAATAAACAGATATCGTACTTACCTCATGCAAATTTAGCTCTTTGACTTTTTCCTTCTGAATGACCTAAGTGGCATAATAAGAGATAAAGAAAGGTTAGTCACTGATTGACTGTATAAACCAGCTCCTCTGGAAATACAATAAAAGACTTAGCATCTAATAATAATAAGTGTGTGATGAAAAAACAACCAGTCAGGCTGAAAAGGGACACAGAGATAATATGTACTCCAATATAGTTGCTGTTTTACAGTAAATGTATGTGCACTACTAATATGTGTGTGTGGGGGTTGTGTGTGTGTGTGTGTGTGTGTGTCCACTATGTGAGATTGGTAGTCTTAAATAACCCACAGAGAAGCTGGAATAATATGTCCACTGGATTAATGTTTCTAGCTGGTAGGTAGTAGTAAGACAATTTACAGAGTTAATAATCATCACAGTATATACTATGCCAGTGTGTGTACTTGTGACATGTTTGGGTGTATTACATCATTTGTGAAGCCTTGCTGGCATGCTCAATCCCAGCTAACCGTGAACCTTATTTTTCCGGCTAAGCCACCTGCTTCCCTTCAGGTAAAGGGCAGACATTTTGAGAGAACCTGTAAATAATTTGAAACGGGCCAAATCTATTTTAACCCTGGAAATACCTGCAGCTGCCAGTAGAGTTGGCAAACACATTATTGCACCAGCTGAATTAACATTTAGGGACCAGAGTTGGCTCACCGTTATTTTCGAATTTTTGAACTGCAGCATGTGTGTGTGTGTGTGTGTGTGTGTGTGTGTGTCACTGGAGTGCTTACTTGTTTGTATGCATATAGCTCTTTGTGCGCCTGGTGCCGTAACCTGGGGAGACAAAACATCTTTTTGATGAGTAAGCGTCCTTCAACTGACTATGTTAAATAGAGAGAAAGCAGTCATACAATCCTGGAAAGAGAGAAAAAAACATGGATGCAATTTCATTATAAATACTTGCAGTATTGTAATGTACCAAATAGGCAAGAAAATCAATTCTCAATCCATAGAGAATAATAAGAATAATAATAATATGGCATATACAAACTGGTTGAAGATTCTACACATGATATATCTCAATAGGAGACAGACAAACAAAGGCAGAGCAGGTTTTCATAACAGATTTTTATCTTGAGATAAAAAAGTTTGGGTTGTGCATGCTCTGCATGATTGTCAAAGAGGATATGATTCTGCTTTAGGCATATGTCAATACATATCAACTGAATTACCAATTACAGAACGGAGTGCAAATACAAAAATAAAATGTCACCTTACTGAACTCTGTTAAATATTTGTTTTTCTTAGGAATACAATAGAAGGCCAAGTTACATATTAGCAGGTTTCATTCTTAGACCGGACATTAAGTAAAATATAAATTCACAACAACACCAAAAATACATTGGATCAGACATTAAAAGCACTGGTGCAGGTTGTTGAGGCACTCTTGCATAATGGTTAAAAAGGAGCATACCCACAGATACAACCAATGTTTAAGGTTTATACCAAACTCTTGGTGTAACTCTTCATAAACATTGCTCTTGTAAATGAGCAAAAACAAACAAACAAAACAACTCAAAACAGAACAGAAGGAGCACTGGATAATAAGAGAATCTATAGGTACTGAGAACGAGACTAAAATATTTAGAAAAGGGGGACAAAAACAAGAGAGATAGGAGAAATTCATAGGTTTGTAAGATTTACCTCCATTACTAGTAACCTTAACCTCTCGCAGCAGAGTGAGAGGGATCTGTAAAACAAGCAGCACAGTCTAGGAGAAAAACTGACATTTTGAAAGAGGTCAGCAGGAAAAGGTGCAGAGACTCCCAAGGGTAGGGGACAATCGGTCATGGGTGAGGGGGTTGTGGGTGACTGATGGGGGTTGCTCAATGGCCCTTAACTGCAATGTCAAAGTGTGTAAGATTAACCAGCTGAAAAATGAGAAACAGGTGTTCAAATTCACCTTCCTCTCAAAAGGTATCATTATCATTATTTGCCTGCAGTCAGCGGGCTACTCAAAAATGTAAAATGTGTGTGACAGCCATCATTATAGTGAAGAATGTCCTGTGGTTTGGTCTACCTTAAAGGTGTGTCACTTCACTTAACATGTATAAGCACGAAACTGTCACAAGCTTGCTGTTACAAAGATCTAGGTTTATTTACATTGCACATGCATAAACATTTAGGCCATGCTCGTGAATTCAGCATTCAAGGCCTCCTGTCTCTATACTTTCAGAAACACCCCATGCTCAGGAAATACATGTCAATCCTTGTAATGTATACTGCATACTTTACATATATGTGTGTGGACCGAGTACTCACTGTTGGAGGTGGTTGAGTATTTCTGTGACAGTCTGCCTCGTGTCAAACTTCGTGTGAGTGTTTGTCTGTTTGAATAATGACCTATCACACGTCACCTCTAAAGTTAATGGTCCCATTATTCTCCTCTCTATGTAAACGAGCAATGACACTTACTGCACAGAGACTATAGGATTCACACCTTATGACAACCTCTAAAGGTTTAAGTAAAGCTTTGGCCAATTTGTAAAAGAAGAATTTTCTTTAAATGTAGCCATAAGGAGGCTTTAAATTGTACATTAATCATACAAGATGGTGCAAGTCATTTGAGGCCAGTCCTTTGGGAGACTGCATCTTTAAGACACTCTTTATGGAGCAAAAACGCTCTTTTTGCCTTTCGTGACTAAATCTGGCAGCATTGACTTTCAGTGTTGAATCATGGTACTGCATCAAAGTAGTGAAGTGTCTTTTCACAGTTAAATGGAGAATTGTAGGAACACAGTAGTAGTTAACCTACTTACCATTTGCGAGGGGTGAATTTTGTTGGGAACTGCTGCTTCTCACTGTCTTAGATAAAACATGCTGGACATTATTTCTGTTCAGTTAGTTGTTGGCAGGAGAACACCCCTGAAGCAACGGCAGCCAGGACAACATAATTAGACCAGTGGTATTAAAAAGAGGGGCAAGGGAATGACTAGAAACCACCACCACTTTTCCTTTGTGGGAAATAATTACTGGATTACACTCGAGACTAATTGCTTTAAAAAAGGGAGATTCAACCAGATTAATGTTAATGGTTACAAACATGAGTTTTAAACACCCAAATGCTAATTTAATGAATAGCCAAATGTTAATTACATTTAAGAAGGAATATGGGGAGGACATTTAGGAGGTAATTGGCTCTAAGAAAAAATAAATAGAACAAGTTGACGCCAAGTGCCATGATCATAATAATGTAGACAAGCAGCTTTGGATCTCAGCATAGTATTAGTGTTTTTCCTATCAATTCAAATCATAAAGTCGCCAATTGTAGTATTGCAGCTACCTTCTCCAAACTGTGCTGTTGTAACATTTTGACCTTCTGTGAAATAACTATTACCAAGACATACAAAAAACACACATTTCGAAAAATTTAATTCAACCTCAACTAAAAGCTATTGTGACAATGACAATGTCTGCTGAATAGAAATGAATGATTATTTAATTTAACTGTTTTGTATAGATTTCATAACCATAACAAATTCGGGGGGCAGTATATTGTATTTTTAATTTCTTACATTCCTAGATGTGAAGTTTCCATTAGTATTAAGCCTTTACATTGAGAAACATCAGTACAACATCATTTTTACTGGTTTGAAAATGAGAACCCTGGAAGCCTAAAAATGTATTTCTTTAAATAGATTCATGTAACTTTGTGTTTTCGATCCTGGCAGCGCATGAGCAGAATAATGCAAGTCAACAAGGTTAATTAATATCAGATTGTTTTTTCACATACCACCATATTAATGATTTCTTTCACCCAGTAAGTAGACAATGTTGGCTACCCATGGGACCCCTGTATGACACTGTATTGCCACAAACTCACACATCACACACACAATAAGAATTGTAAGCAAAGCCAAATCCAAAGCTAACAGGTGCATGGGTGTTACCTTATTAAGTAGCAGCAGAAGAGGAGGCTGAGGATGAAGACAAAGATGGCTGTCCCAAACACCACAATGTAGATATTAAGGGGAAGATTCTGGAACCCTATATTTGGCATCCTGAAACTGTAGTGAGGGAAATCGGAGCTCATGGATAGTCTGGATGGAGAGAAGACAAATGACATACAGTACATAAGAATGTCCACATAGTTGGACACACTCAGAGAGTGGGCAGAAAAACAACATGGGCCAATATTGACACAGCATTATGATACAAAGTGAAACTGGAACTGAGGGTAATTAAGTTTGACTTTCAAGCTAGTTTTACTTTCAGTATTGCAGGAACATATTTCAGGGGTTTATTTTCAGTTTAGTTTTACTGTAAATGTTAAAGTTAGCTTCATCAGCATGTACACCATTTTCACTTCTTCAACTGTAGGTGCCAGACATCTTTTAGAAGCCAGATCTTTGTTGGCATGAGTATAAAAACACAAACAGCTTTTTGGGGGTTGACATACTAAACCACTACTAATGACATTTCTGTTTTTACATTTTTGTGGAGTAAAGTTAAAATAATATCAATCTGCATTAGTAACTGAAGGCAGAGGCAAAAAGGCAATATCCTAGAGTGGCATTTGAGGAAGAATGATGCCATGCAAAGTAGGGATTGTCTGTGTGTGTGTGTGTGCGTGTGTGTGTGTGTCCTAATATGCAACACAAGATTTATTTTAAGTGACAGCATATATTGCCAAAAAATAGCATCCATATTGGAGCATCCAAATATATATTTTTCATCAAGCAATCTGTCACAACATGAGGCAAAAAGATAGCCTTGAGCTAAAGATGCAATATAGCCTTGATGATCCTTTACTCACAGTGCTTCGGTAGTTTTACATTTGACGTTTGCTTAATTTGGCTAGACACCAAAACTTCAAAATCTAGGGTGCAATATGTAATAAAAGGAAACCAGAAACCTTCCTGTGAGATTAATGGATAGATTATATTATCATTTACATCTTCTATGGTTAACAGACAGCTCAAGCTTTGTTCCTACATTTTTTTACAGCTCTCTTTGTTTTTCATTCCCTATTCAGAGAAAAAGGGTTCCTTGTCTTGCTTTTATTATTTAAAATACAATGTTTTAAAATACACACTGGTGCGCTTCTAACATAGCTTTTTTTTTGTAACAAAACTGGCACAAAACAATGTTTACAAAAGCTACATTAACATTTATTTGACAACGTATGAGCATACCTAGAACATTTCTTTTGATTCATAACAGCCAAGGCAAACAAACAAGGATCTATTGGCCAAGTGCTCTTACTCAATATACCTAAAGGCACATAACTAGGCGTGGCTACGCCTGCCCAGAGAAGAGGAGGAGAGAACAGGAATAACTTTGGCTCCTTTGGGAACCATGTGGCCCTCCCCTTCACTAAACACCAAGAGCTTCATTCCTCTACACTCCTCTGGACAGTGGAAAGTTTTGTAGGATTTGCTAAGGCCATCGTCTCCTTCTTATGATTACACTACATGTGTATCACAGTGAAACCTGCTTTTTATATTATAACTATGGTGTCTCAGTATGGGAAGCTCTCTCAGCATTACCCTCAGAATCCTCTATCTCCAGCCAGTATTTTCAGCCATTTAAAAAGAGGTTGACACAGACAGTGTCATCTGCCGTTCAAGATATATTCACCTCCAGCTCCAACACAAAGACAGTGTTCTTGGTAAGACACCTGGCTCATGATATCAAGGTTGACAGGATAAGTAACGTGAAGTTCTATTTAAAACATATGTTTCAATGTCTCACTATGACACTATTTCTGCCAAGCTACACTTTCATTTTACTATTATTTCACTTTTTGTATCACTGTGAAGAACATACGCAACCACTGATATGCAGGAGAGGAGGTGATGGTTCTTGGGCACAAAGGCCATATTAAGCCTGAGCTTCATCTTAGTTAGTTGTCCCGACCCGTGCGAATGTTTTTATGGAAAAAACAGCGTAGACAAAAGATGGATGCCTTCAAGATGTTGTGGATTGGGCCTAGGGAGTCTAAACGATGGCACTGAAATCGTAGGGGAACCAAACTGTTATAAAATCAAATAAGCCACGCCCATAAGCGTGGATCAATTTATTTTATATTTTCAAACAGCACAGGCTTTTTGCCGCCTGACTAGCTGTTTTCGACAATTAAATCAGCTGTAGACAAATCATGCAATGACTTCATTTTGATAGTCCTTGTTTGTCCAAGTTCAAGGCTCCATGCCAAACTCAATTCCTACTTCTCTCTCCGTCTTTCCCTCCAAACACAGCCCAGACAACCCCCCCTTGCTTATATGAACACACAAACATGCTGCTACATGATCCTTTCACACAAACTACAAGCACCTCTGAAGAAAGAAACAAAGAAAAAATAACATCGCATTACTAGCCAAATACATTTACTTAAATGCTGCCTTTTCCCTGGCTAGTTTAAAAAAAGGACTGATGGCAATATTGCAAGACTAACAACTACATCTTATCTTATTATTGTTGTGTAGACGCACACATATTTAGCAAACACATACCCGAGTGGTGCCTTCATGCTGAAGAGCAGAGAAATCTGTATCTCTGTAACACAGGCCCTTGAGAAGTGACATAATGTCCTTAAGAGCCTTGTCAGTGGGTTGCCTCCGGTTTGGATCGCAGCCCGTATTTGCCTCGTTCATAAAGGCTCCATGTTAAATTCAAGCCTCGCTTCACTCTCTGACTCCCCACTATAACCTCCCCCTGCTTATCTGAACACATACACATGCGGTGTAGCCACATGCTTTCCACACACACACACACACAAACAAACCCCTCTGGAGAAATTTGAGAGCAACACACCGGCAATCAATCCTAAACAGTAGATAATTAAGCACGAACAGAGGCCGTACTTAATTGTATGATTTTGAATAACTATTGATCCCCCAAAGTTTAGCACATTTATAAAATACTGTTCAAAGCATACAACATGGATTGAAGTCCAAATTAAAATAAAAAATACTTGTGAACTTTTTTGCCAATATCTGATTATTTCCATGGTCAATTCAGCTTTGAGCAGCAGCTCCTGTAGCCCTCTGGGATATTTTTAGTCCATTTTTGTTAGCAGATCGGCTTTAGTGAGCTATGGCTCACCACCAGAGCGAACATGCACCTCCAGTTACTGCTGCACTGAGTTTTCTTATACATGTCTTCGATCGTGGTGGACATTATTGACAGTAAAGGCAACATCAAGGAATGTGAAGAAAGGCTCAGTAGACTTCTCCTTTAGTCTTCTCCTTTTCTGTAACACCAGACATATGTTGTAATCTAGCAAAGCTATTTCCACTGTATTGAATGAGTGCACGCACAGACACTGACATTCATCTTTCATGGAAACAGTAACATTTCAAAAGCTACAAGGCTAGTCTGGTTCTAGACCACAAGCCGACTTGATTATTGTAAATTAGTCGTCCTGTGTTTGTGGTTCATGCTTTTTCTTATCTACAGATGAACACTTCAACATGTCACCTAGGATTTATGAGTATATGTGTGACTTAATTATCTGCTCAGGGTGCCATTATTCCACTATATCTTTACATAGCAAAGTATTGTTTGCTGCTATAGTAATGCACTGAATTTGGAATTCAGCATCTTTAAGGAAAAACCTAAATGAGCGACTGGAGAAAACATAATAAGTGCAAATAATTCCATACCGGCTGTAAAAGATGACCGAATGGATAAATGAGGATGAAAGTTTTGGACCAATGTGTTTGACAGTGATATCCATCATAGTCATCAAAATACCAAATGAGGGAATACCTTTTTGGTGTTAGTCTTGAAAGTAGAGTTCAACAGACTTGCACTCCAAGGCCGATTGAAGCTAATCTGCCAGCCAGTAAAACAGCTTACTGAGAAAAGCATTATCTATAATGTCATCAGCCATGACATTAAAAACTGGCAATAGTCTAGGCTTAGCACTTGCATTGCTTCCTCTTCCTGTGCCATCTAAAAATACCTTGTTGTCGCTCTGCCTCTTTGAAACTGAAGGGCCCACTCGGGACCAAAAGCCAAACTTTCACGCACCACTGGGTATAAAACTGTACAAACAATGTGAATGTACAGCGAGGCAGCACTGACAAAGCGGTCTCTACTGCACAATGACCAAATGCAATGTTATTGTGAACACATCTCACAGAGAGAATAATATGCTAGAGACCAAACAGCACTCAGAGAGAGAGAGATAGGATGACTTGGCAATAAACAGTGTCTTCTGATTGGAAAGGGCAGATGTGGTTTGCGTCACGTTTCTGCCACCAACTGCCTTAGTCACTCAAACATTTCCACATGGCCTCACCCTGTTACATAAACACAAACCATACCACGCACAACACATCATATTCAGAGGATATGAGCATGAGTGAGCAAATCACTCTTTGCAGTCATTGTGCACAGCTTCCTGTGGTATGATGGAACAGAAAGAAATATATTTTCAACTTCTGTGATATGAAAGACTGAGAAAGAGCAGAAGAGAGGGGGGGGGGGGGATCTTGAAGTGCCGGTTCCCCAAAATTATAAAAAGATAGAACATAAAAACCTGCTCCTACCTGTTGTAGTGGTGTTTGGCCACAGAACTTTTGATTGTGTGCCCGCTGATCACAACTACACAGGCCTACTTGTTTTTATGTCAGTAGATAAGGACATGTTTGTGATGTTTGTTTCAAACTCCTGAGTAAACTATGATGCAATAAAATAGTTTTTTCAAGATCCTGCATGATCTAAAATATATGCTTCAATAAAAAAAAAACTTTTGGACAAGAATGGTAGCCATACACATGGAGACAGCGTTTAAACATCACAAAGAAGCCTGCAAATAAGTATCCAGAAAACTATTCAGCAAAAACAATGATCAAGTCAGTGAGGAACTTAATACACATCAAAATCACTCATTCGTCAGATATTTGTATTCGCTCTACTTCCTTTTGTGAAATGAACACAGGCCATTAAGCTACCTAAGATTGAGAAACACACAAGCTCGTCTGCTCGAGGTCAGGAGGAATTTCAACTGGCAGTATGTTTTATTTTCCAGTGAAGCTTCCATAGAATAAAGTTATTCAATGATCTACTGTTCCTCATGTGTGGGAACTCA